ACTTGTAGGCGAATCGGGTTCTTTCGGCACCCACTTGGTTATGGAGCAATCGAGCTTTGAAAGTCGGTCTAGGGGGGGTGCCATCTCTCCGCCTCTTACGGAATACCACGGTACGGTATACGGTACGGTACAGACAATCTTGGTTGTGGAGCAATCGAGCTTTGAAAATCGGTCTAGGGGGGGTGCCATCTCTCCGCCTCTTACGGAATACCACGGTACGGTATACGGTACGGTACAGACAATCTTGGTTGTGGAGCAATCGAGCTTTGAAAATCGGTCTAGGAGAGGTGCCATCTCTCCTCTTCTTACGATACACCCCCCTGGAGCCTCCCTCCCGACCGCTGATAACCTCCCCATCCTGCCTTCCCGAACTCTTGCGCCGATTTCCGACCACCCACCCGACCCTTTCCTGCCCATCGACCCCCCCAAAAAAACTCTACAGCAGACCCTCCTGATTTCTAACTTGTTACCCCCCCCCCCGCCGATGCGCCCGTCTGCCGCCTTTCCCGAGCAGTACTACGACAACACGGTATTCCACCGAATTATCCGCAAGTTCATGGTGCAGGGGGGAGACCCCACGGGCACGGGCAAGGGCGGGGAGAGCGTCTACGGTAAGCCGTTCCGGGACGAGATCCACACGCGCATCAAGTTCAACCACCGCGGGCAGGTGGCCATGGCCAACGAGAACGAGCCCCGCACCAACCACAGCCAGTTTTTCTTCACGCTAGACAGCGCTGCGCATCTGGACAAGAAGCACACCATCTTTGGCAAGGTGTGTACGCGTACTACATGTGGTAACAGTTCTCGGCTTCGCGAGAAGTTTTTTGTTTCTTCAACACAACCAATTCATCTCTTCTACAGATGCGAGTCCGAGATAGACTAGCAATGATGAGGACCGACAAAACCAACTTGAATTCACTTCTGCGGTTCCCCGAGCAGCGTACCGTAGATTGCATAAGATATCACAACCCCTGGATCGATTTTCAACGGTCGATTACTCCACGACCAAGAATATGCCGAAGGCAAACGAACCGTGTTCGGAAAGCTCTCGACGGGACGGTTCCAACTCCGCCATTTTCGTCACCGTCACTTTTTTCCTTGCCAAGTAACCAAGCTTTGAAAATCGGCCCAGGGGGTGTGATATCTTGTGCAACCAACGGTATATCGGCATCTCCCCTGCGGCTATCAGGCTCAACAAGACAGCAGTGGGGGGGTTGGTTACCAGTTTTACGGAGCGGTAGTGGTGGGATACGTGCTGGACTGAGGCAGACGTGCTGCTTACCTTATAGGGCAAACAAACGTGTTCGGTTGTGTTGTTTTGGGGTCAGTGGCGTTGGCCCTCGTAAAGAGACGGCCACGTGGTGGTTCTGTGCATGAGTGTTCTGCCGTGGTCACCCCAGACAACGAAACGAACGGAGACGGTATGACCAGCCATCTCACGCTCCCATCTCGGGCACAACCCTGCCCCCGTTCTACTGTTTAGACTCTTCACTCTTTTCCTTGCAATGCCAACACAACATCCCTCCACCCCCCATGTGCTTCGTCGTTGTGAAACGTAACCCCGGGCCGGGGAAAACCCGGCATGTCGCTCCGTCCCGGCGTAGTACATAGGGATGCGAGGTCAATGGTCTATAGATGGTCAAGCACCCTCGAGGCAGTTATACAGTGCTTATTTACTGTCTCTGGAAGTGAAAGCACCAGAAAAAATATTAAGTCATACCCAGCTGTCATCAGTACGCAAAGAAGCTTGAGTACCCCCTCCCCCCCCCCCCCCCCTCCACACCTTTCAACACGCGCGCCCCGGGGCGGTCGTACGCGTCCGTCGTCTTATTCATCTGGCAACATAACGTGGTTGAAATATGTTCATCTCATCGTCATCGTCGTTTCTCCACTGCTATAGCTTTTCGCCCCTCGGGGCTATTTGCCCCGACTATATTTCGTGTCTTCCCAGCAAGCATCAGTTCATTGTATTTTCTCACCAAAAAGAGCACAGAAACACCGCTGCCACCGCATGTCTCCGAAACAGGGCAGAATTTCTAGATTTTCTTGAACCAATTTAATTCATTCGTGTCTTGCACGCGATTTTAATTCAATTATGAACACCGAGACGCAGGCCATGCAGAGAAGGGCACGTTGGCCGCCGGAACCTCCCGTTTGGCCGACACAACATCTATAATAGAGCCCCCCATGTCTCTAACTTGCTAACGCCCTCAGGTTGTCGCGCTCGGTCGTGTGTTGCGATCTCCAACTGCGTTGCACAAAATGGCAGGTGCTTCTCGTCTTGTGTGAGGGGCAAGTGGATAAGCCTTCCATGTCGACTGTTGTTGTGCATGAGACCCGCCGTGTGCCCAGTCCGCGAGCACACCTGCAGCGTGCGACAGAAGCGAGACAGAAGCGTGATGTGCATAGGGTGGGCAATATTGTCGAGTATAGCCAGCTCTTGAGAGGGCGGGGTTCGCGGGTAACTTATGTACGCAGAGCGCTATTCGGAAAATAAATGCCTATGGTGATCGCCGCGGCGACTCGATTGTGTTGTTTCGTAACCCTAACAACGCTATTTTGTTGGAGTGCAACTTTTTGGGATATTCTAGGCTGTGGCGTCCTGATCTTTTCTACTGATTATGCTCTGTGTATACTTTTATTGTGTGCGTGCGACTTCATTCAGCAGCTGTGGTGCTGGGATGGGGCTACTTCGGAGGCGCGGCCGCGGTCGGGGTCCTGCCTCTTCCTCTTTTTTGTGCGTGTGCAATCCATCGAGAGGTGTCGCCGTCTTTTTGTGTTTACACCTTTCTTTTTGCAGACGCCATCCCGCCAGTTTTCGTGTATTATTTTGACAATCGAAAAGGCGTTGCAAAATACAGTAAGGCCTACAGCAGTAGTGCGTAACACCCGCGGTATGACTGACTGCTGTGTTATTTTTCTCAAGATGAACAGAAGCAATGGACATTTAGAAAAAACTCTTTTCTCGATAGAGATGGTTTCGTTGTGTCATATTA